TAATTTTTTTCTATATATATTTTAGTTGTCCAGCTAATTGCTTTCTATATTTAGTAGAGACAGGTCTCGCTCTTGTTCAGGCTGGTCTGGGAACTCCTAAGTCCAAAGGATCCACCCACTCAGCCTCCCAGAGTGCTAGGATTACAGGCGTGAGCCCCTTGCCCGGCCTGTAATTAACATTCATTTATTATCTTTCTTTTCAAAAAACTATAAAGCCAAGATAGCCAACATCCTTGAGTACATTTTCTCTACTTTTGTTTACAGATGAGCAATTGAAGACCAAAAGTACTCACTCTCTAGAAAAGGGGACAGATCGCCTGACAGAGGATGCTTTAATAGGATTAAAACAAAAAGTACACTTAATGTGTATGAAAGCAGACGTTTCTTTCCACTTTTAATCAGATGAAGAAGATTCTTGAAAGGATATTTATCCTCCAAATCCCAGAATATAGATTATGCAATGCTGGTCAACAAAGAATCAAATAAAAAAATACAGTCCTATTTCTAGCTTGCCCTTGCTTCAACGTTCTGAAACAAAGCAATGGTTCTCAGGGTGGGGTCCTCAGACCAGCAGCATCAGCATCACCTGGCAACTTATTAGAAGCGAAAATTTTCAGGCCAGGCTCGGTGGCTTCGCCAGTAATCTAGCACTCTGGGAGGCCTAGGTGGGTGGAATCATTTGAGCTCAGGAGCTTTGCTCTACCTGAGCAAGACCAAGACCCCATCTCTACTAAAAATAGAAAAATTTAGCTGGACAATAAAAAAATATATAGAAAAAATTACCGGGCATGGTGACACATGCCGGTAGTCCAGCTACTTGGGAGGCTGAGGCAGAAGAGATTGCTTGACCCAGGAATTTGAGGTTGCTGTGCGCTAGCTGAAGCCACGGCACTCTTAGCCCAGGTGACCAGAGTGAGACTCTATCTCAAAAAATAAATAAATAAATAAAAGAAGTGCAAATTTTCAGGCTGCAGCTCAGACCTACTAAATTAGACACTCTAGGGCTAGGGGCTTAGCAATCTGTAGTTAAGTAAGCATTCCAGGTCATTCTGATGCATTGATAAAGTTGAGGACACACTCGTCTTAAAGAAAATGTAATTCCTTTTAGAGAAACAAAATGAACAGTAGGGGAATAAATGAGAAATTCTACATCTAATACCTAGGTTGAAATAGATAAACACCTTCTTAACTCCAGTACCTATACAAAAAAGTCTTTTGGAGTTTCATTTTACTGAGAATCATTATCAGACCAGAAGTATGACTAATCATTTAAAAAGCTAGTGAAATGCTAAATAATGAACAGCACAGATAGTATTCAACTTATCTTGAGTAATGGTTGATGGTCCTTCTATTCTGCATTCACTGACCATTCTTGGAGCACTGTGTTCTATTTTAAGTGCTAGGTAAGGGAAACATCAATAAACTGCAATAGATACAGAAGGAAAATCAAGATGTCGAGACATCTAGAAATAAAACTCTTGTAACTAGGTTACCATTCTGGAAAATTTCAAGCACTGACAAAGTAAATCACTTACTATCTTAAGGAGGGAGGCTGCATTAGATTACCTCTGAGAAAGGCTCTCTCTATGATCATATAAAAATCTTTCATTGGCTCAATACTACAAAGAGCCCAAGTACGCTATAAAATAGAAATGCTGTTGTATGTCTATTATGTATAAGCTCTGGACAGAGAGCTGGGGGAGAAGATTTGCAATTTTTTGTCAAAATCACTGTTGGCATGAAGCCAAGTGCATTGAGTTTCTTTTGCACCTGTGCTCATTCTTCTAGTATAATCCATGAGAAGTCTGAAATTTTCCCACTATGTTCTTTATTCATGTGAGTCATTTTCTCTGAGCTTTGTAGGACAATTTTAGAACAGTCTAGATTCACAAGGAGTCAATACCCAAAGTCTGTCCACTTTATAAGATAATAAAATCTCTCCTTTCTCCTACATGATTTACCTACTCTCCTTTTCAGGAATGCTGAAGAGAGTCCTTGGGAATTCCAGGAAAAAAAACTTTCTATGTGATGTAAAAAAAAAATTCTTTCAGAAAGACACACAGAATAAGTGGAATTTCTTAAGTTTCTTCGAATTAAGAATTTTTCTTAAATTAGTAAAATTTCTTAACTCTATTTGTTCTTAGCTTTGCAAGACACTGAAAAGCTTTCATTTAGGATGGGAGTATTTCTATTCAAGATCAGCGGGCTTTCCCTATCTGGAGAAAGTATTTAAATGTTTTCTTAAAGGATTTAATATTATTTACTTGCTGCTAGATTTTCTTTAATAGGGAGCAACAATGTTGGAACTATAAAAACGAAGTAAAGCGGGGATATGGCATGGTGGCTCACGCCTGTAATCCTACCACTCTGGGAAGCCGAGGCAGGTGGATTGCTCGAGGTTAGGAGTTCAAAACCAGCCTGCAGCAAGAGCGCAGACCCGTCTCTACTATAAATAGAAAGAAATTAATTGGCCAACTAATATATATAGAAAAAAAAAATTAGTCGGGCATGGTGGCACATGCCTGCAGTCCCAGCTACCCAGGCAACAGAGTGAGACTCCAGATATACACATCAGTGCTTTCATTCTTTTTTTCTTGAGACAGAGTCTGCACTCTGTTGCCCGCAGCTAGAGTGCTCGTGCTGCAGCCTAGCTCCACAGCAACCTCAAACTCCTGGGCTCAAGCGATCCTTCTGGCTCAGCCTCCCGAGTAGCTGGGACTACAGGCATGCACCACCATGCCCGACTAATTAATAATACTTCTTCTCTAAAGTAAGGGATAAAATGACCTTTGCAGATTAATAATATTATTTAAATTTTCTTCCCCCTTAAAAGATCCTTTAGGGCAAGGGCAAATCATATATCTCTTATTTCCTTATGCCTTGCACCTAGTGTAATTCCTAGCACATAGCAGACACCTCATGAATAAAGAACTAGTTTTTAGGATAAAGATGTCCAGTAATTTTCTTTCTCTTCTGATAGAGCTTTTGCTGCTGTAAAGTTTGTTTTTGTTGTTTGTTTTTCTTTTTTAAAAAATGTGGAAGGCTTGGAAGGCAAGAGGATCACTTGAGCCCAGGAGTTTGAGGTTGCAGCGAGCTATGATCATGCCACTGCCCTCATGCCTGGGCTCTCCACAAAAGAAAAAAAAGTTAAATACTTTATAACAGCAGTCCCCAACCTTTTTGGCCCCAGGGATAGGTTTAATGGGAGACAGTTTTTCCACAAGACTGGGGAAAGTCGGGGTGGTTTCGAGATGATTCTAGCACATTGCGTTTATTGTGCACTTTATTTCTGTTATTATTACATTGTTAACCTCTCTGCTGATGATAATCTGCATTTGCAGCCACTCCCCAGTGCTAGTATCACCGCCTCAGCTCCATCTATGCAGATCATCAGGCATTAGATTCTCATAAGGAGCACACAACCTAGATCTGTCATATGTGCAGTTTACAGTAGGGTTCAAGCTTCCACCAGAATTTAATGCCGCTACTGATCTGACAGGAGGCGGAGCTCAGGTGGGGATGCCAGCGATGGACGTGGCTGTAAATACAGACGCAGCTTCGCTCCCTCACTGGCTTGCTGCCCGCTTACCTCCTGCTGTGGGGCCGGGTTCCTAACAGGCCATGGTTGTGGCCCGGGGCTTGGGGACAGTAGCTGTATAATTCTATTTATATAGCACTCTCAAAATGATGAAATTACAGAAGCAGAGAACAGATCAGAAGTTAGGGAAAGAGGAAGAAGTAAAAGGGTAACAGCACAGTGGAGTTTTCTTCATAGTAACAGAACAGTTCTATATCTTGATTGTGTTGTGGTTGTACAAATCTATATATGTTATACAACTTCGTAGAAGTATACACACACACACACACACACACACACACACCTAAAAATATGACTATATATAAAAACTGGTGGATCTAAGTAAAGTCTGTTAGTCTGGTTAATTGCCAATTTCCTGATTTCAACAATGTCCTGTAGTTATGTCAGATGTTACCATTTGGGGAAGCTAGGTGATGGGGACATGAGATCTCTCTGCATTATTTTTATAATTTCTTGTGAGTTTATAAATATCTCAAAATGAAAAAGTTTTAAAGCTAGCCATTAATGGCTCTTAACTTAGGAAAATATATGTAAATAATAAGTAATGGTGGTGTGTTTTAACCTATTAATATATTGCTGATGGCAGGAAAAAGCTATAGAGCAATAGATACTGTGAACCATAAATGTTCATAACTGTTGACCTAGTGATCTCCATTTCTGGGCATTTATCCTAAGGAAATAATCCCCCAAAAGGTAAATAGTAGAGGTGATGTCATTTGCATTAACAAAATATCCACATACAAAGTATTCCAAGAGGTAGGCAACTAATTAAGTAAATTAAAGCATATCTACTAACTGTAATATTGTTTAAATGATAAATTGATAAATATGAAACAGATAGTTATACTGTTAAGTGTGCATATGGATGAGAAATGTATATGAAGAAATAAATGGCTCACGCCTGTAATCCTAGCACTCTGGGAGGCTGAGGCGGGCAGATTGCCCCAGGTCAGGAGTTCGAAACCAGCCTGAGCAAGAGCGAGACCCTGTCTCTACTATAAATAGAAAGAAATTAATTGGCCAACTAATATATATAGAAAAAATGAGCCGGGTGTGGTGGTGAATGCCTATAGTCCCAGCTACTCGGGAGGCTGAGGCAGGAGGATCGCTTGAGCCCAGGAGTTTGAGGTTGCTGTGAGCTAGGCTGATGCAATGGCACTCACTCTAGCCTGGGCAACAAATGCAGACTCTGTCTCAAAAAAAAAAGAGAGAAAGAAATGCAGTTTTATTTAATGTTTCTTTAACATTTATGCAATTTCATAACATAATACTGAAGTATGGCCAATGGATTTATAAAGTTAAAATTCACTTTGTTGAATCATTACTTATTTTTTAAAATTCTGACACTAAAGATTATTTTAAAAAAATTCTTTCTTGAACTCTTGGTCTTGTTTCTTTCCAGTTCTGTCCACTTTGCCGTTTAATACCTAATGAGAATCCAAGTATCTTCAATGGCAGTTTAATAAGACATTTGCAAGTTAGTCACACTTTGTTTTATGACGATTTCATAGTAAGTACATTTTCTTATTTTTACATTATGATTTTATGCTGTCTGTGTTAAGCTTACCTTCTTAATCCAAATGAATGAGAGGAAAAAAATGTGTATATAGCTAAAGTGTTAAGTGTTAGCATTAAGTCGGAAATCATGAAAATAAAGTGTTTTATAAATTTGAATGTTAATATTGAAGTGGTTATCTGCTTTGGACAAAATTATTCTCTTTGTGATCTAGATAGCCATTTATAAAGAACCAGATTTAACTTTTAAATTATTTTAACTTTTACTCTAGTCTCTAGTCTCTCCCTGTATATATTTACGATAATTGTTGAGTTGAGAACTTACATAGCTGAGAAGAAATCCCATGAATAATGAAATGGGCAAGGCTTGGTGGCCCACACCTGTAATCCTAGCACTTTGGGAGGCCAAGGTGAGAGAATTGCTTGAACCCAGGAGTTCAACACCAACGTGGCAATAGCGAGACCCCATCTCTACAAAAAGCAGGAAAATTAGCCAGGTGTGGTGGTGTGGGCTTGTTCTCTGAGCTATAGTATGAGTTATTCGGAAGGCTGAGAAGCAGGAGGATCCCTTGAGCCCAGAGCTGGAAGCTGCAGTGAGCTTCCATGACGCCACTGCACTCTAGCCTGGGCAACAGAGCAAGACCTGTCTCTCTCTCTCTCTCTCTATATATATATATATATATAATGGAATGGCTCAGAGTTTGTCCTACATCCAGTTGCTTTTATAGTATGTTGCATGGCTAATAATAGATTAGACATGACATTATGAATATAGTAAGACATATGGGCCTTCTCATTTTTTATTTTAAATTCCATGAAACACATAACGTGTGTTTATTGAAAAAAAAATTTTTTTTTTGAGACAGAGTTTCACTCTGTTGCCCAGGCTAGAGTGGGCATGGTGTCAGCCTAGATCACAGCAACCTCAAACACCTGGGCTCAAGCAATCCTCCTTCCTTAGCCTCCCAAGTAGCTGGGACTACAGGCATGTGCCACCATGCCCTGCTAATTTTTTCTTTTTCTTTTTTTTTGTTTTTTGAGACAGAGTTTTGCTTTGTTGCCCAGGCTAGAGTAAGTGCGGTGGCGTCAGCCTAGCTCACAGCAACCTCAAACTCCTGGGCTCAAGCAATCCTCCTGCCTCAGCCTCCCAAGTAGCTGGGACTACAGGCATGCTCCACCATGCCTGGCTAATATTTTCTATATACATTAGTTGGCCAATTAATTTCTTTCTATTTATAGTAGAGACAGGGTCTCGCTCTTGCTCAGGCTGGTCTCAAACTCTTGAGCTCAAACAGTCCTCCTGCCTCGGCCTCCCAGAGTGCTAGGGTTACAGGCCTGAGCCACCACGCCTGGCCGATTGAAAATTTTAAACAATAAAAATCTATTATGAAAACAATTTAAATGTACACAAAAGTATACAGAATAACATAATGAACCCCTGTTTACCCATGACCTGGCCTCAGTAACCAACTCATGATCAATCTCATTATATTAAGAGTTTTTAAAGTAGAAGAAAAGTGACATATAGTATGAATAGTCTTAATGCTCATCAATATATTTCTCATTGTCAGAAATTAGAATAAATAGCAAACAAAAACTTAACATATGCAATGGAACGATCTCTACTGGGGGAAAAGAAAAGTTAACGTAGCCTTTGCTCTACTTTGGTCCATATGTTGCCAGGTGGGGATAAGGCATTGTCCCCAAGTCCCTCTCAGCAAAGAAGTATTGCCTATTGTAAGGAAGAAAATCACTCACAGTCATGTTCTGAAATAATATATTTTATTTGTTACTTTTATCTAAATACATAAAATGTAAAGGGTTAAATTTAAATTTGGATATAATTGTTCCATGATTTCGACTGTTTTCTTTTTATGCAATCTCAAGATAAAATTTAATAATTGTCGAAGATTGTCATTTGAAACTTTTCTCTATGCTTTCTGATATGCCCATTGGAAAGAGCTATCTAGATCGGACACAAGAAGCTTGAGTTCTAACCTAGATTTAAGTAATAGCTCTGTCACAGCTGTATGTGACCTTGGGGAAGATATTTAACCTCTGAAGCTCAGTTTGTTTATTTGTTAGGTGCATAAAGCAAAAGCACCTACTCCCAAAAGCTCTTGTTTAGGATTAGGTAATGCATATAAAGTGGTTGGCACAGTTCAGCCACAGATGTTAGGCAATTTGGAGATGGGGTGGGAATAAGTAGGATTATTAGGACCACGTGAAGAATTGAACAAGCTACATGACAGAGGCTTCGTATTCTCCACTCCATCTCTTCTCTCGTAAGGCACACAGGTTCTAGAACCTGGTTTGGGTCCATGGGTTCTCATTGCTAACATAAAGGGTTCCCCTTTATCTCAACTCTATAAGATGTTCGAAAAGCAGGTCGATTCCATGCCTGTCTAGTTACTCATGTTCCATCTATGCTCAAGATCTTTCAGACGAAGGATGACCCCAGAGCTAGTCAGGATGAAGCTACTTTGATAAGAATATTTTCAGCCACTCAAAACCATATTCTTGGGTTTGGAAAGTGAGCCTGAAGTAGTGTTCTTTGTTTTGATTTTTTGTTTCCTGAGCTACCCTGGACTAAGCTAGACACTTTATGCATATTATTATCTCATTTTATTCCTTGCAGCAACTTCTGTGAGGTGAATATTTTTATCCTCATTTAACTGTGAAATATCTGAAGCTCAAAGATTAACTAAATTGCCTAAGAACAAGCCGGTATCATGTCCAAACCTTGTGCTCCACTGTCCTTTATGGCTTTCCTTTGGATTTTGTTTATTTGTTTTTATGTTTTGGAATGGACTTTGAATGGAGATTTCAGTTTTGTTGTTTGTTAATTATGGAAGAGAAGAGGGATTGCAGAGGGTAGGGTTCTTAACGGTTTTTGTTTTATTTATAGAATGTGCTGACTTTGAATTCCATTTTGATACATAGGGAAATGAGGAGAAAGAGAGTTTTGTTTTCAACAATTTTTTTTTTCTTTCAGAAATAGATATTCATTCACAATAGTATTGCTGGCATTGAGGAATCCTGTGGGAACACCTTACCTCCATGGGACATGTGTGTGTGGAACATAGCTCTCTGACCAGCATTTGTAATGTTGACTAAAAACTACTAATTATATCAGATAAAAACTTCAAATAACAGTAACTAGTTGGCTAGGCGCCGGTGGCTCACGCCTGTAATCCTAGCACTCTGGGATGCTGAGGCGGGCAGATTGCTCCAGGTCAGGAGTTCGAAACCAGCCTGAGCACGAGCGAGACCCTGTCTCTACTATAAATAGAAAGAAATTAATTGGACAACTAATATATATAGAAAAAATTAGCCAGGCATGGTGGCGTATGCCTGTAGTCCCAGCTACTCGGGAGGCTGAGGCAGCAGGATTGCTTGAGCCCAGGAGTTTGAGGTTGCTGTGAGCTAGGCTGACACCACGGCACTCACTCTAGCCTGGGCAACAAAGTGAGACTCTCTGTCTCAAAAAAAAAACAAAAACAGTAACTAGTTAATTGATATAGACAGTTAAGTGAAATGGAAAATGTATTAGCCCCAAGGCAAAAGTCCTGGGTTCTGTGACAGGCTTTGTGTAACCTTGGACGTAACTTAGGGCTTTAGTTTCCTGCAAAATGAGGTCATGGCGTTGACCATCATCCACTCACTTTCTGAAATACTTTTGACTCTGGATGTTTCTAATCATTTTTCTTTATTGTAGGATTTTAATATAATCGAGGAAGCTCTTATCCAAAGAGTCTTAGACCGGTCACTTCTTGAATATATGAATCGCTCGAGCACAACATAATTTTATTAAAAGGAAGAGGAAGGGGACCATTCGACTGCACCATAAGATGCTGCTCAAACAGTTGTAGAGGGATTGTCAATGTTTGATGGACGAAAATGTACAACAGAGTTATATGTTTGCCTATGTTTATTGGTAGAGTGTATTTAAAAACTGCTTTCATTTTGATGGTTTAAATCTGTCTTACATTCTTGAGTTTCTAAGACATTTAACAACAAAAATTTAAGCTACGTCAGTCAATATATGCAAGAGACACAGGCTATGTATGTAGGTGAAGGGTCTCTATTTGCAAATTTGATGATACTGAGTGTAATACTACATATTAATAACGATCATCATGGTTAGGCATGAATACTAATCTTTGTTCTATGTGAAAAGATGGAGAGTGAAGCAAAGTACAGACATTCAAGGAAATATGAAATCTGTTCCAATGCTCTTGTTTTAATCTCTAATATAATAACACGAATAATTTTGTATGGGAGTAGGAAAGGAAAATTTTGGAAATCCACAAAGTTCATTTAACCAAACTGTATTACATAATACTGTAACAAAATAAATGTTGTGTTAGAAAAGTATACTTAATTCTTTGACTTTTTATAACTATACACACATAGGAGAATTTAATACTATATTTTTCAAAGTTTTATAGCTTATTATTTAGAAACATTTCTGTAATATAGGCAATTTCTTAAGAACCATTATCTGATATTTATAGTGGAAGTATTCACATCCATAATTTTTAGTGGAAAACCCTAAGGGCTTTGATTTCTTTTTAAAGTTTAACCCTTTAGAAATTACAAAATAAAACACAAATGCTGAAAGCTAAACACAAAATTATAGCCTAATGCATTATTATAAGGAAACACTTTATTAGATTTATATTTTATATTTCTTTTTAATCTGCAAGTTCCTCCTTCCGTCCTTTTGCTTAAAATTTACCTATTGAAGAACCTGGTCTTAGGACCTATAGGTTTCCTGCAATCTGTATTTTGCTAATTGTGCACTCATGATGCAATTTAACATGTTTCTCTGTCCTCTGGATATTGGCACATGGATTCAAAGGTTTGAACAGACTCAGGTTCAATCTTTTTGGCAAGACTATAATAGGTCATGGTCTGTTCTTTCATCAGAGGGCACATAATGTCTTTTCTCTTTTTGCAACATTAGCTGAAATTGATAGTCAAAGCTTAGATCTGCTCATTCCTTATAGGTTGGGGAATATTCTAATTCTATCATTTCTTTGGGTTTTTTTGTTTGTTTGTTTGTTTGTTTGTTTGTTTTGAGACAGAGTCTTGCTCTGTTGCCTGGGCTAGACTACAGTGGCATCAGCCTAGCTCATAGTGACCACAAACTCCTGGGCTCTCATGCCGCTTCAGGTTCCCCAAGAGCTAGGAGTACAGGCATGCGCCACCATGCCCAGCTAATTTTTTCTGTTTTTAGTAGAGATAGGGTGTCACTCTTGCTCAGGCTGGTCTTGAACTCCTGACCTCAAGCAATCCTCCTGCCTCAGCCTCCCAGAGTGCTAGGATTACAGGTGTGAGCCACGGTGCCTGGCCTATAACTTCTCATTTTTATCCTCCACTTAGTCTCAGCTCTTCAAGTAACTATGTATTTAATGCTTGCTACAAGTCTTTATTTGGTGGCCCTGGCTGTTTTTCATGTTTGGCTCTTTAATGACGAATCCAGGCCATAGATTAGTATCTTCATCTTGAAAGGAAGCAAAGGAGCTATGAAGACAATTGATACCAACTCCTGAGGATAAAACGTTATTTGACTAGAGTTAACTCTTTAATTGTAATCATTTACAAACTTTTTTTGTTCCTTACACGTAAGTATAGTTATCATCATGGTGCCCCAATTATTCTGTAAAAAATTATCCATAATTTCTTAAAAGTCTTGCTACTACTCTTCTTCCATCCAGTACAAGATAATTGAGAAAATGTAAAGCTGGCTGAAATCTAGGGAGCTTCATATTCTCCCTTTTAGATACTGGTTTCAGGCTTGCTTTTCACAGCTACTGACCAGTAACAACTGATTTTTAGTTTCCCAGCCTCTCTACCTTCAAGTTAGACGTATCACACCATAAAACAAAACCTGTTGGACAAAAAAGCAAAGGGAAAAGAATTTTTCAGAAACAATCATCAGACTGAAAATCTAGCCCCTGAAAAATAAAAGAACATTATTTCTGAGCATTTGTACTGACTATCCAAACAAATCCATGTTAATTCAGAGCAAAAGAAAAGGCATCTTTACATCTGTAAAACTTGAAAACATTTTAAAACTTTTAAATGAAGCTTTAAGTCATCTGCCACTATTAACCTCAATATAGCATTTCTGAAGCTTGTCCTTGGATTCCTCTTAGGATAATTTTGCCACCTACAGGACAGATTAGGTGCTGGCCACCTGAATTATTTTGTGTTCTGAATTATTTTGAGTTATAAAATGGTGAAGTACAAATATCCATTGTTTTACTGTGCCTTTCGCCTTTTATAAAGAGGAATTTATAATTCATTGTTTTAAAAATGAAAATCTGTTTGAAACTACTGACTATCAAAAAAGTTTCACTCTATAGCACCTTAGGATACAACTTTTTCAAGGCCTTATAAGGGAAAAACTGATTCACATGTTGTTATTCTAAAGCTAAATTCTTCTAACCCTACAAAAACCTATGGAGATTTCCCTTTCATATAATTTTGCACCCAAGTTTCTAAAATGTAGGTTGAAAAATTGGATTGATTGTGAATCTATGGTAAAAATACGGTTTGGGGTCAGATCTCCTAAGAGATCCTGTCCCCAGTGAGGTTGCATTTCTTTACCTTTAATGGGTGCTAATTGTCTTTCATTTGGAAGTGAATTTGCCCCAGTTATTGATTGTTTATCAGAGAATTGGTATCTTCGAACATTGAAGGTATTTTAAAAAGTCACTAAAAGATTCATTCTTTTATTATTCAACCACAAAAAAAATCTGTATAATGATCAGAATTTAAAATGTATGATTCTTTTTTTCTGTAAATATGTGTGATTGTGAGAAATAAAGAATGGCAGGACCATTGCTTTCATTAAAATATCTACTGTGTTTATTCTTAAATATTTTTTTTTACATTTTTTTAAATTTCAGCATATTATGAGGGTACAAATGTTTAGGTTCCGTGTGTTGCTTCCCCACGCCCCCCACCCCCGCTGGAGTCAGACCTTCAAGTATGTCCATCCTCCAGATGGTGCACATTGCACTCATTATGTACATATATACCCATCCCCTCCTCCCCCCTCCCATCTGCTCGATGCCAGATAAATGTTATTCATTTATGTCTACTTAGGTGTTGATCAGTTAATGCCAATTTGCTGGTGAATTTATGTGGTGCTTGTATTTCCATTCTTGGGATACTTCACTTAGTAGAATGGGTTTCAACTCTATCTAGGAAAATACGAGAAGTGCTATATCTCCACTGTTTTTTATGGCTGAATAAAACTCCATGGTATATATATATATATATACCACATTTTATTAATCCACTCATGTATTGATGGGCACTTGGGTTGCTTCCACATCTTTGCAATTGTGAATTGTGCTGCTATAAACATTAGAGTGCAAATGTCTTTTTTATAGAGTGTCTTTTGTTCTTTTGGGTAGATGCCCAATAATGGGATTGCTGGATCAAATGGTAGATCTACTTGTATCGCTTTAAGGTATCTCCATATTGCTCTCCACAGAGGTAGTTTGCAGTCCCATATTCTTAAATATTGATCTTGATAAATTGTTTTACACAAAGCTAGCACAATTTTTAAATTGTTATCATTGAGCAACATCTGTAACAAAAATTATATATTCATTTAGGCCATTATTTCTCAACCAGGGGTAATTTTGCCTCTCCGTGGACATTGGCAATGTCTAGAGACATTCTTTGTTGTCATAAATGGGTGTGGTGTGCTGTTGGCCTGGGGTCTGGATAGAGTCCAGGGATACTGCTCAACATTTCACAGTTTACAAGACAGACCCTCACGATAAAGAACTATCCTGCCCAAAATGTCAGTAGTGCAAAGGTTTAGAAACCCTGATTTGGCCAAAGTAATACTGAGCACCATGGAATTCTTATTCTGCTACCAAGAGGCTTCACTAAAACTTAAAAGGTAAGGTGTAGATGGATTCTGTATATCTTACTCCCTACTAAATCCATACTAAGTTTGAGTGGCTGTAGCCGTCATGTGTACTAATGAGTCATGAACATATGAATTCTTGGGTTTTTCATGATAAGAGGTACAGATATTAACAAAAAGGTTGAGAAGATTTACCTTTATCACATAGATTATTGAAATAAGTAAGACAAAATGTTACAAAGGGACATCTATGCCTGAGATCTTTTTTTTTTTTTTTTGAGACAGAGTCTCACTCTTTATGGAATTATTTGGTTTTTCATGATAAGAAGGTACAGGTATTGACAAAAAGGTTGAGAAGATTTACCTTTATCACATAGATATTGAAATAATAAGACAAAATGTTACAAAGGGACATCTATGCTGAGACTTTTTTTTTTTTTTTTGGACACAGTCTCACTCTGTTGCCCAGGCTAGATGGTGTGCCTGGCGTCAGCCTAGCTCACAGCAACCTCAAACTCCTGGGCTCAAGCAATCCTCCTGCCTCAGCCTCCCAGTAGCTGGACTTACAGGCATGTGCCACCATGCCCGGCTGAATTTTTTCTATCTATA